CCCCCGCCCCCCTGTGGGTGATTGATGGGTGCTGTTGTGTGGTTTGTTCCTTCTTTCCTATCAAACATCTATTGTCCTTATCTCCCCTCCTTCTTTTTTTCTGTTTGTTACTCTCTTGTAACACCTAGTTTTCTGCACGTATATATGACCTTATTGTGTTGCAAGTGCCGTAAAAAACTTACTAAAACTAAAACTAAACCCCACCCCTCTTCCGCCCTCTCCTCCCCCCCCCCCTCACTCACCCTTCACATGGGTGGTTGGCGGGTGCTCTGGTGTGGTTTGCTCCTTCTTTCCTATCAAACATCTATCGTCCTTATCTTCCCTCCTTCTTTTTTCTGTTTGTTACTCTCTTGTAACACCTCTATTCTTCCACTCGTATATGACCTTATTGTGTTGCAAGTGTGTTGCAAACACATACTAAAACTAAACTACCCCTCCACCCCTTCCTCCCCCCCCCTCACCCTTCACACACACAGGAGAAGAGCAAAGCCATCATGATAGTGATGGGCACCCGCGGCCAGAACACGCTACGCCGGACCTTCATGGGCAGTGTCAGCGACAGTGTGGTCCACCACGCCAGCTGCCCCGTGCTGGTCTGTTGTCACCCCAAGCACTGAGTGACCGACACACGGCCACCCGCCGGTCGGCTGAACCTCAGCTGACCCCCAGCTGATCCCCAGCTGACTGGTAGAGCAGATTATGAGATGGCCACCACTGACTTGCTCAGCAATATTTGTTCATGATGCGATGTTCATTCATTTTTTCCCCCCAGACTCTGCCCTGACTTGGTCGCTTTTAAGGACAAGCAGGCTTACCCAGATTTTGGGGGTTTCCAGAAATCTTGATCTACACCAAATGTGGGCCTTGCCCTACCTATAGGAGAAGTTTGATTTCATTGGTGTGTATATTTGTTCGGTTGTAGAGAAACATCTCCTTTTCTTTTAAACAAACTGAACAGGGGTCCAAAAACTGCACCTTCGATTTTCTGAAAACAGCAATTTTCGGGATAGCCCCCCTTGTGCTTAAAAGCGACCATTTGTTCATGCGATGTTCATTTACTTTTTTTCCCAACTCTGCCCTAACTTCTGAGTGGGTTTTTTTTTTCTCCCATAAATCCAATGGTTTTTTTCCCATAAATCCAAAATGTATTTTTATGAAACTTGTACAGTAGCTTGTAGTAGTTACGTAGATGAAGGAACATTTTTTGCTTTGTTTCAGAAAAAAGAAAAATTCCAAAAGTGTGCAGGTAAATTAAGGAAACTTCTGGGAGTGATGTTGGCGGCCCCACATGTTTTTGCCTTGGGTTGAAGTTGAAGGAAAAGTTGTAGCCAAATCACGACCTCAGGGCTTTCTTGTCGTATCTCCATTTTCTTTACAGTGAAAATGTGACATCTTTTTAAGTTCACTTTTTGTTATGAACTGTTTTCACAGATATTTAAATGGAGATAAGCCAGGAAGGCACTGGGGACGGGAAATGTGAAGACCTGAAGCAAAGAACTGCTGACTTTTTCCATGTTTTTCTTTGTTTAGGTAGGCCAGGTGTTGTAAGTCCCAGTGTGAGCGCACACTGTCGAGGGCAAACTTTCACATCGTCGCGTCCTGTCCCTGTGTGTTGACAAAACTCATGAATCAAAACTTTGTGGATGTAAAGGTTTCCCGTTTTACAGCTGTGACAGTCTTCGTTTTCCCCCCCAGAATCTTTTACTATCAAATTTCTCCCCCACATCTCTCTGTATTTTTCTCCCCGCATGACTTTGGTGAACACAGGATTTTTTTGGTTGTACGTTTGTGTTGAGATGGACACCACAGGTTGTGCGTTTCTCTGGATGTAGTCTTTGTCTCTGTCTGGTGTGACGTTTTGTCGACGCCGTGTGGGGTTGTCAGTGTCGCTGGTTCTAGTTCTCTGTCTGTCATTTTGAGGAAATAAAACTGAATGGACGTTACAAAGCCTGACATTATTATTCATGCTATTCAAATATACTGTGTGTGAGTTGTTAGAATGTTTCTTCTTCTATGATAGCGCGTTGTGTGGGCTGGCGCACAGTTCTGTACGATGTCACGCTATGAAATTCCAATATATCTATAGAGGAGAGTGGGATGGGCTGGGTCCCAATTTGTAGAGGTCAGAGCTTGACTTTCTACGGGCCAGGTGGTATGAATGTCTGTGTGTGGGTGGTTGGCGGGTGCTCTGGCGTGAAAGCGTTAGTTAATAAAGACATTTCTTCTCTGTTGTGTTGGTTACTTTCTATAATTTCCAAGGGATTTGGTTGTTGCTCTGAAAGATTTTGTTGATGGGAGACACATCATTCACAGAATTACGGATGGTTTATTTGTGTCTCAAGTGTGATCAGATCAGAACTATCCGACTGGTGTCTGTGGTGCAGCAGTTAGGCTCTTCACTGTCCCATGCAGGAAACCTAAGTTCAATTGGTCGCTTTTATTTAAGAACATGCGGGCTAACTTAGATTTCGGGGGTTTCCAGAAATCTTGACCTACACCTACAGTGGGTATTGCCCTACCTATAGAAGTTAGGTTTGATTGTCTTTTAAAGAAACGGAGCAACGGGCAAAAACTTAACCTTCGATTTTCTCAAAACAGCTTTTTTCGAGATAGCCTCCTTAAGCTTAATATTTAAAGCGACCAATTTGTGAGTGGGAAAAATTTTCCATCAAGTATCTCGTTCTTTCTGCAGGGACGTTTTGTCCCTCTCAGCCCAGGTTAACCTTGACACTCAGGGTTGGAAACCGGACTCCTAAATGATCTAAAATTGTGTTGAGGTTGTTGAAATGCCTACATTAAAAATTAAAAAAATTTTTCTTCTTCTCTTTAGATTTGTTGTGTATGAAGCAACTCTGGTGACAAATCTGCTCTTATTCACCACCTATGTGATCTAATTGTGTTGCAAGTGCTGTGAAAATCTTTCTTTAAAAAAATAAATAAATAAACTATGACGTGTTCCAAACTGTGCATTTTTGTCTCTGGTAGGGTTTTCAGACGCGTATGGACAGAAGTATCTAAAGAAAATTATTAAATGATGAGAGATAGATTTATACCAGCTTCTTATCTGTTGCTGATACATACACATGTGCGTCAGACCAGTTCCTTTATTTTTCCAGCGCATAATTGGTTTATTATTGTATTTTTTGTAGATGTTTGTGTTATAACGTTGTATTTTTGTGATGGCATTTTAGTTTTGTACTTCTGTATTTTTCTATTACTTGTATCATGTATAACCTTTGTAGTATGACTGAAACAAAGTCTTTCCTTCTGCACCTACAGAACAGATACTGTCTTACAAGAGACTTCTAATACAATATCAATCACTTCTCTATCAAGATAACAACACGTATCATTTTCTAATTCAAGTGTGTGCCTGGAGAAAGGTCCCAGTTCTTTAATTACAAGTTTGGATGTTGAAATTTGGGCATATTCTTGTTGTAGCCAATTCAATGCTGAACACACTGATCATTTAATTTTTCAAACATCTTGAGTGGTTCTAAAGATACGCCACATTTAGTAACATATATAGGCTTTAAAAGCATAGTGTGGAGAAAAACCCAATTTCTAGCACAATTTGACCCTTGATAAAGTACATGCTGAAAAAATAATTAATAAAAAATATATATAAAGCCTCAAAATACTATAAAATCATTTCAAAATATTAAGAAATTATGGTTAATTGAGTGTTTTCTGATGGAACTAAATTTTTTACCATTACCAATTTTGGGGCCTTTTCACCCGGTTGCTCAAAATAAGAAATAGCTTTACCAACAACTTGGATCTTTCCAGGAACACGCATATGTTTTCCTCAAGTTTTTGGTACAATTTTATGTACTGGTATTGCATACGATAGATAAAAAGGAACTTTTTGCTTTATTTAAAGGTCATCACTGTATTTTTGTTCCAGCCTCACAATATTACTAAAACTATGTTTCCCTGAGATGTACACAAATAAACCATTGTATCTCTACCAAAGTCATTTTGTTTCTTTTCTCTGCTTCACAGGGAGTGGGGGGGGGGGGGGGAGGGCTCTCGTGGCCTAGAGGTTAAGGTGTTGGCCTGTCATTCAAAGGTCCCGGGTTCGAATTCGGGTAGCGACCGAAAAATTTTCTTCTCTAAAATTGTCTCCTTTCACCTCCTTTCCTGCTCTCTAGCAATGTTCTGTTGTCTGCTTTCATTTCCACTTTCTGCCCCCACCCCCTCAACTCCTTTGCCCCCTCCTCTGGGCTCCTGACTCTTTCTGCAGCCTTTCTACTGCTACTCCTTGGCCCCTCCTTGCTGCTGTCTTTCTGCCACACCCCTGATCTTCTGGTAGGAAAGAACTACACCCAGCCTTCTCGGACAAGGGCGAAAAACTCGGAGGGCCCGTGTGCAAGTTGCGCACGTTAAAGATCCCTTGGTGGTCTAAAATCGATAAGAGTAAGCTTCGGCTGCCACCTGGGCAAAATTCCAAATTTCCTACCAACTGAAAATATTAGGTGTGTCCCGCGCGCTCATATGACCTAATGCAGTTGCGAGCGCCGTAAAACACTTTACAAAAACAAAAACAGGGAGTGGGTGGTTGGCAGGTGGTCTGGTGTAGTTTGCTTCTTGTTTTCTATCAACAAGCATCTATCGTCCTTTTCTCTCTCCTCTTTCTTTTCTTTGTACAGTTGACTCCGTTTGTGTTGAACTCGCTTGAGTTCATCTTCGGTTAAGTTGATCTTTTTCTTGGGTCCCAGCACCCCTTGTGTCCAGTAGAGCTGGTCGAAGAATCTATTCTGGAACAGATTCCCACGATTTGTGCTAAGGAAGAAAAGTTCTGATTTCTTTTTAAGTAAACCAACGGTTACCAATTACTTTAATCATTAAAATTTTCATTTTGTAAAGATTTTATTTTTGAAAAATAAGATGCTTTGTAGTGTTCCAAAATCAAGGTTACCCTAAATCCTGAAGATGTTCGGAGCCAACCAGGTAACCACCGGAAGAAATCACATCATTAGAAAGTCATGGGTTCGGAGTTGATTCCTACGATTCCTAGCTTTCAATAGTCGGAAACATAGCCGCCCAGCACCTCTTGTGTCCAGATCCCAACGGTCGAGTTGAACTCTGTTGCTATCTCCCCGGACATCAATTGACCTAAGGAGACTGTATGTTGGTACTCTCTAGTCTCATCTCTTATTGTGGGTGGTTGGCGTGTGCTCTGGTGTGGTTTGCTCCTTCTTTCCTATCAAACATTTATTGTCCTGATCTCTCCTCCTTCTGTTTTATGTTTGTAACTCTCTTGTAACATCTAATTTTTGGCACTTGTATATAATAAATAATAATAATAATAATAAATAGCATTTGTATAGCACAAATCCCCGCTCAACAGCAGGCCCTATCCGCTTTACACTATATTATTACCCCAGCAGACCATAGAACACTCCGAAACATTCTCAGCTTCCCGGGAAGCATACAGTGCAAGCAGCTGATTAAGCGCTCAAACACTAACAAACTGACAAAATATATGACATTGTGTTTGCAAGTGCGGTAAAACTTTTACTAAAACAAAACAACATTTCTCATCTTCGGCTCTAAATTATGACCTAATTGTGTTGCAAGTGCTGTAAAACTTTTACAGCAAGTGAAACAGAAGAGTGGGTGGTTGGAGTGTGTCACTGGTAGGGCTGATTCTTTTCTCTTCCTCTGTATTTTCTGTCTGTATGGGTGGTTAGAGGGTGTCACAGGTAGGTCCTTTCCTTCTGTAGTAGTTTCTGTCTTTATGGGTGGTTAGAGGGTGTCACAGGTAGGTCCTACTTCTTTCCTTCCCCTCTGTAGTTTCTGTCTGTATGGGTGGTTAAAGGGTGTCACAGGTATGTCCT